GGGGATGGGAGGGGGGGACAGCGGGGCGCCCGCCCAATAGCACCAGTGCGCGGCCGGGGGGACGGGGGCTCCGCGGGGACGGGGACACGCAGCCGAACACGGACATGCACACGGACACGCACACGGACACGCACACGGAGCCGCCGCTGGTGCTCGGGAGCATCGCCCCCCCACACACGGCGGAGGAAGGGGGTGCTCCCGGCACGGCGGGGGGCACGGAGGGCTGGGGACATGTGTGCACACGCGTGGACACGTGCTGAGGTGACGTGTGCGCACGTGTGTGCGGTGGAGATCTCACTGAGACCACGCAGGGTGCGATGCAGGTCTGCACACGCAGCCGTGAGGAGGCCTCCTTGCACACGAGTGTGCAATGAACGCCTCACTGAGAGCACACAGGGTGTGACACACACGTGTGCACACACACAAAGCAGTGAGGAGCCTCCTGGCACTTTGCATGGAGAGATGCACACATGTATGTGCATGTGTGCACACACACAGAGCAGTGAGGAGCCTCCTGGCACTTTGCATGGGTGTATGCACACATATACACACCTGTGTGTGCAATGAACACCTCACTGAAACCACACATGGTGTGACACACATGTGCACACACAGAGCAGTGAGGAGCCTCCTGGCACTTTGCATGGGTGTATGCACACATATACACACCTGTGTGTGCAATGAACACCTTACTGGTACCATAGTGTGACACACACGTGTGAACACACACACGTGGCAGTGAGGAGCCTCCTGGTACCTTGCATGGAGAGATGCACACGTGTGTGCAATGAACACCTCACTGAGACCACACACGGTGTGACACACACGTGTGTACACACACACACGGGGCAGTGAGATGCCTCCTGGCACCACGCACAGAGGGATGCACACGCGTGTACCTGTGCGTGTAATAAACATCTCACCATGACCATGCACACGTGTGCGCAGGTGTGTGTGCTGTGATGCTGCCGGGGCGTGGGGAAGGGCTGACGTGTCCCGTGTGGGGCTGGGGTGGGGTGAGGGGGGT